GAGAACAAACCAATTAAAAAGTAATGGATACATCACTGAAAAAAGAAACATACTATTGATAACATCAGAAGCAGCTTTCTCCATCCAGCCAAGGAAAGATACATTTGAACTAATGTGGTCTTCGGAGGCTCTGTCTTCCATAAAACGAAGAGAAACAGGATCACTCAATTTCACTCTTTCAAAAAGCTTCAGATCCTCAATGTTGATGTTATTGAGTTTTCCACCAAGTGAAACTTCATATGCATTAAGTTTCCCATGATGCAGATCTTCTTCACCAAAGGTCAATAAAAATAACATTTCAATTGCCTTGCCAATGTTTTCTGAAGAAGTCAGCTGAAGCTTCTCATCACTCCCAATCTTGTAACAGCTTAATTCAAAATGAAGCAAAGTTTTACTACCAATAACCAATGAATTAACTTCCACCCCCGTAATGGAAGTAATTGCCTCAAGCTGGGCAATATACCATAGTCGTACAAGATTTTGTAATCCCTTTTGATTCTGGGATCGGTTTGCAACCTCTTCGTCTGCTTTGTTACTAGATTCATCAAAGAGAGCTGCAACAACTTCATTGTGGATCGACCAATTTAGGGTATCCAAAGTGACACCTGAAGAAGCTTTTCCATGCAATTTTTCATCAATGTGATTCCTGTGGCCGTGAAAATCATCTAGACCATCTTTTACAACAGTGCTCTCCTGCCTTAACAGTTTGAATCGACAAGGAGAAAGAGAAATGGAAGGAATGTTCTTTTCCAAAATAACATCACATGCCTTCAAATAAACCCCTGTGCAATCACAAAAGCAATATTGCTGTTAAAATCCGACATCAAAATTGAAGGGATAGTTATAGATTTAATCATCTGAAACATAAATTCAAAAGGAAAAGAAAACAGTAAAGTTTAACATGCTGCTCACAAATACAAAGATGATAACTCAGAGGCCGTAGAGGTAAAGCAAGCTTTTTCAAATTAAAACACAGAAAATACAGCATAACTTTCAACTTAAAATTCCACAAGAAGCAACAGAAAATGTCCATAAAGCCTCCTAAGAGTCCTAACGCCGTGAAAACTTCAAAATATAAGTTAAAGTACCAGGGCAAATCCACTGCTTATTAAAATAACCAATAGCTTATTCCTTGATAGTCATGCCTGATAGCATGATGTAGTGCTGAAGTACAAGAATTAAGAACTGCTAGTTTTCTAACTAAAGAAACAGATAACACAAAAACCAACTTCAAATACATTTAATAACAAATTGCTGGGCTTAATATTCTGCACAGTTAAATTTATGAGCATGCATGCAATTGATTCTAAGATATTGTGATTTAAGTAAGATGATTATTAGAACAACTTAACGTACATGAATGCAGGCTAGCTCTCAAATAAAGGCGAAGAGACTTAGCTAGCATTACATGTCCTTTAGCCACAGATTCTGAAATCAACAGATGAACAATTGCTTGTCGATGTTCCTTCTTGTCCGTATCTCCATTCTCAACTTGATTAACAGCTGAACTACCTTTGGCTTTCATAACGTTTGACTTGGTTCTTGAATTTTTAACATTCTCTTTGGATACTCTTGGCACTATGGAGACCAACTGAAGCATGTTAAATGAGAAGCGCTTGGCTGTTTCTGGATGAACAAAAGCAACTGGAGTAAGCCCTACATAAAGCTCAACACCTTTGACATGAGTACTCGTACGGCATAAATCATTTGGTTCCTGTAAGCGGAGCAGCATCTTTGCAGTATGCTCTTTACTATTGAAACCAACGTGTGAATCTCCTGGTGAATCTGAATTTCTTTTGCGTGTCTTTGGAGCAACATCAACTTCAGTTCCTGGCATGAGTTGTACTGATAAAGTTTCACGCGTTAGACAGGTCTTGCATTATGGATATAAACAATAATTGTCTTTACAATTAAAAATAGACTTGTTTAGACAAGGCTGGTAAAGAATCCAACGAGGAAAAAAATAACAAACAACCAAGCAACATACTACCTCAGCCGCAACATGATATCTTCCTACTTAATAACATTTTAAATGCTACAAAATGGTGTTTTATAGTACTAGTGAAAATAAATACCAATGAGAGAAAAAATTGAGTCAAAAGTAAGTTTGCATTTTCGTAACAAAATATAAAACGCAAATATATCTAATTATATTGAGTTCCATAACCACTGAACAAAGTTTCATAACAGAGCAATTCAACAACAAACACACAAAACATGTGTTATTTGAACAACAAACAACAATGGAAGTAGTTAACGCGGTTCAAATAGGTGGTTAACTATGTTCTTTAAATGGCTAATCAATATGCAAGGTGTCAAAACTCATTAATCATTAATGTAACTTCTTTCACTTAACCATCTATTCGAATTAAGTTAGCCGCTTAAAAAGTTCTCACAAAAAATTGTCAAATTTTGGCTATACAGTATATTAACCAAATGGTTGTTTCAATAAGTAAAATCATTGGTCAACAACAACAGCTTAAGTGAACTAGTTGAATACTAGTAAAAAGAAGATGAATGATAGGCATAATAATTCTTACCCACCGCATTCTTGGGAAAAACAGAAGCTACATGGAATGTGATAACGGTGTGACCATTCAAACGCAAAGGAAACCTCATCCCTTCATGAACAATCCTAACCTGCAACAAATCATTCATTATTTTTCACTATCCCTAATCGGTTTTAATTTCCAGAAAAATCAAATTCAATATAAGGAATAAAAGAGTACCAAACCTGATTGAGAATTTGAGCTTCAGCTTGTTCAGAATTAAGTTCCAGAATTTCCCAATCATCCTCAGTATCTGGCTCAATCGAGACGGAAGAAGCGTGAGGAACGTTAGAAGCGACTTTAACTTGAACCGGAGAATGAATCGGCAAGGAAACGCAATCGGAAAATTGTTGAGAAACTTGTATGGATGACGGAGAAGAAGAAGTGGCTCCGGACCAGGCGACGAACCAGGAGTGGGGAGGGTGAGTAGAAGAACGAAGCTCGAGAGCGAGAATTGGAGGGAGTGAAGATGAAGATGTGGATTGAAGAGTTTGGATTAGAGGTAAAGGGAGGGATACAAAACAACTCTCTATGCCTCCCACCGCCTCAACAGAAAACTCCATTGTTCAAATTCCGATTGCAAATTCAGTTCACTCAATTGACCGTACACACGACTGTGGTGTAGTACTGCCAATTGTTTTTTTTTCTTCCTCCTCCTTAATTCATATGCAGGGTTTTTTTTGGTGAGGAATAAATACGTTTTTTTAGAGTAAATACTAATGAAGAAAAAAAATGGTCTTGAGATTGTAAACATGTGTTTAGGAATTTGTAAAAAAAAAAACGTGTTATGAACAAACCCCTTTAAATTTAATTAATAAATAAATATATAATTATATAATAAATAATTCATAAAATTTATAAATTTATTAATTTTAAATTTTGAAATATAAAAATTGTATCAACTTATTATATCACATCTTAATATTTAATACTAAATTGATAGATTTGATATATTGTAAAGATGATTTATTACATTTATATAGTTTAAAAATTAAATTAAGAACTAAGTAATTGTTTAAAATTTAAATGGATAATTTTCGGCGTATAGTGACATGATGATGTGTTATTTCAACAATTAAAACTAAATTTTAGCTATAGTTTTTAAAATAGCTAGCGTAATTTAAATAATAGTTGTTAATCATAATTTTTAAGTATTCAACATATAAATTTCTACACAATTGTAATACAAGTATTCAACATATAAATTTCTACACAATTGTAATACAATCTGTTCGGAAAAAAATTATGTACTCCAATATATGTCTATGTAGTATTGTGAATGAGTAATGTTTTCATTTCCATTCTTAGGTATTTGTTATTAATTTTTCTATTAATTTTTAAATTTACAGTAATTTTTATTTTTCAATAATTTAAAATGACTTAGTATGATAAGAAATAGAGAAAGTAATTCATTAAGCATTTACTAAATGTAGTACATTTTTATTTGTGTTAACCTCCTGAAAAAGTTGCCTAAAATTGGGCATTAAATGCATGTAGCATCATTGGAATGTCATGGGAATCATTTTGTCGAATTAACGAGTTCATTTTAGTATAGACAAGAAATTGTATGGACTAATTTGACTGATATTAATTTCCATAGTGACACAAATGAAATCTAATTTGATTGAAAATTAATTAACTATACAAAACATTAATGGAGGAGCTCATTTTGCTATAGAATCCCCGCGCAAACTTTCAATGAGCATCATTAAACACTGCATGTAGCACAATAAAAATAGGCAAAACCATCTATAATGACTTCGTAACAATGATAGGGAGAAGTTCCCAAGACACGTCATTTGATCTCTTGACTCTGAAGTCATTGTTGCTTGAAGGATTCTGGTTAAGAAATGCAATGAACCTTTGATCACAACTTAATCGAAATAATTTCGTACCAAGTTTATGTCATGAGAAAATATTAGATTGTTCCTTTCCTTTCAAAGTTTATTTGTACCAAAACCAAAGATGTGTCAATTTCCACACCTCCGATCAATATCATTTACACATATATTTCACTCAATTCACTCATGTAAGCCAAGGCTTAAAGAATATCCCCAGAGTGTATTGACTGTTAACAGAAGGAAAAATAGTATGTTAAACATTGAACTTTTATTCATAAGGAGGGCACTAAGTTAAAATTCTACTTTTATTATACATCATAAGAGAAGCTAGCCCCAAGATGAGCATATGCTCATTCTGAAAACCAATCCATGATGCAGGTATCACTATAAAGTATCAACAACAACAAAATAATCCAAGTGAGAAAAATGTTTTAAACATGTTGACAAAAATAATCAACTGATCCAAACTAAACTAAACTGGGTAAGACTGGACCAGTTAATCAAATTTGAATGGAAAAGACCACTTTATTCATATTGACAGGGTGCTAGTATCCAAAAAATTAAACATTCTTCTTTTTGCAGCAGAATTAAACCACATCCCTGACATTCACTATGTCTCTCCGATCTGATAGGTTACCGTGTTCTCTTTCCATTGCTTCTGGTCGAGACGTTTTTCATAGAATATGACTTCTTTGTTTGATGTGACAAACAGAGCAGAGGAGCTCCTAGTACCATATGGCCCCTAAGTACAAGTAAGTTTTCAGCTGCTGTAGATGCAAAATTAAGATTAAGCTTAAGCATGCAAACAAGTGGAATGTTTTAGTTAGTTACCAAGGGAAGTTGTGCGTCGACAAATATCGAACTCAGAGGACGTTCCCATTCTGGAGGATGAATCCCTGGTAGCATGCACTCTTCATCATCTTTAATTGTATTTGTCATTAGTTTCTCGACCATTTCTTTGATTGGAAATTCGCCTTCACCATACTCATTAATAAGCTCTTTGAAGTTATGGCGCAACCGTTCAGCCTTAATGAAATAGATATGCAGTAGTGTCAAAATAAGCCGGTGTTATAACTTCCACAAGTGCTGGTGTAACTTAATTTGCATACATGAATCAACTTAGTAACTTTGTGTGTGTACCTTTGGCCAAGAAGCGTCCAATGATGCATTAGTCAAGACATGAATTCCAGGAGTAACAGAAAGATAACCGTGCTTTGGTCTATTGAAGACATAAACCATGGTGGAGGTGCAAATATCAGCCAATACAAGGTTAAATCCGTTGTATAGATGAGCCTCTTTGACCACTTCCTCTGCAAACTCTTGGGGACTCTTATTGCTCTGTTGGAAGCAACATATAAATCATTAATGAATGTAATGTTGCGTTAGGTTATGTACCAAGCAAACACACTATTGAAAGAGAAAAACGGAGATAAACCTCTACAATTCTTTAAATAGTTATTTCGGTCTCTAAATGTGTAAAGTTGTGTCACTGTAGTCTCTGAATGCATCAGAACTTCAAAAATATCCTTGTTATCTATTAGTAAATTCATACCAAACTAACAATCGAAAGACACATGAGAATAAAACTAATAAAAGACACATTTGAGAATTACACTAACTAGTAATAAACACATTCAGAGATGATTTTGTAATTTAGATACATTGAAAAGTTATAATAACACCACCTAACATATTCAAAAACTCAAATGATTATTTAGTCACTTATAAAATGTTAGAAACAACTTAATATTAGAAAATACATATTAAAAATTACATAATAAAGTTATATACCATATGCTATGCAGCACTGACACGACACTATCCATGCGATTACGTTTAACCATTTATACTTTATCAAAATAATTACTAATATTAACGTTTTGCTATTAGTATTGTATTCTTTATGGGGATATAAAGCATGTTTGGTGGCTGAAATGAGGGAGGTAAGAAGAGGAGTGATAAGGAGTTCCAAAGTTCGATCTCCAGTCTCACCATAATACTAACTATTGCTGAGCCTGAAAGTTTATTGAAAATTTGACTAATAGCTTCAAAGACAATGAAGCACGAACACGATACATATCCGATACGGCTATAACTTACTAATTGTTTGATCCCTCATTCGACTATCTAAACATCGACTCACCTTAACTCGGTCATAAATCGTTTTAAGCTAGCAACTAACAAAACTAATATTAGCAATTAAAAAAAAATGTATAATTTCTGCATTTCAAGACTTAAAAGGTTGTATTAGTATTATCATAGAGTTAGTAAGAGAGATAAGCATAGTTAAATATGGAGAATAGTTAGGTGAATAAATATGACAAACAGATGGAGTGCATGATTCGACCTGAAGAAAACGAAGTGGAAGATCTCCTCTAGTGTTGGGTTGTGGAATGTTTTGGAGTTCTCTAACATTGGTGAGAAAAGCAACCCTACCGTCTTTGGTGGAAGCCAACCACGTACCACCGCAGAGTCCATCCCTACCGCCCAAAATTGTTTCGCCGCCCCACCACGCCAATGGTTCAGTAGGACTTCGGCATGTTTAACGTAGCGATAAGAGTGAAAGAATAAAAAGTAAAATATTTGTTTGTGTGTGTGTAATAATAATAAGGAAAAGAAGTAAGCGATGATTACCGAGAATGAAATTCGTCTCTGTTTAGTAAGAGGAGGAAAGGGTATTTTGGATGAGCTTGCCACATGAACACCGTGATACACATAGCTTAATTTCTTTTTTAGTTATTAAAATCCAGTTTTATTCCTGTATTTTCAACTCTTATATCACTCCATTGTTCATTTGTGTTTATAATATTAACTACTCGGTAGACCCGTGCATCTATGTAAATATTGTCAATTATTTTATTTTTTGGGGGGCAAATTCTCAATAGCCTAGCCTAAGACAGGATTTATATTGGAAAGAGCTTTACTCACGATTAAAGAATTTGTTTCAATCCAAATGTTGTCCAACGAATTCAACTATGAAGGCATTGCCTTTCCTAAAAGAAAAAAACTAATGTGATCACTATTGACATTTTTGAAAATAGCACCACAAGCACACTAAAGATATCCTTATTACAACACCATCCGCGTTGCACGTGATCCAACCAAAAGGAAGGGGTTTTTATAAGACATTTATAGTTCTTTTTGTGTTTGGAGGTTGAATGATGATGTTGAATGATTTTAGAATTGTGAACTCAAACATGAAATTCTAGCAGATATTTAAAAGTTTAAAATATTTGTTTTTGTAAGTATATTATAAACTATTTTTTCTCCCAAATACCAAAAGTTTTTGGATTCACCACTTCTAATAATCAGAGAGTAGAGATGGTGAATTGTAAGTTAAAGAGGCTAGAAATTCAATTTTAAATTTTGGAGGCAAATTTGCATTAGAAGAACAAATAGAAGTAGTTTCAGTTTGAATATGACACAAATTGCATTGAGATGGGAAGATAATGCCTCTACTATGGAGATTATCTTTAGCGGGCATAGTATTGGGGATTATTCTCCAAACGATAAGGGGCTTAGAAGAAGGGATACAATTGTGTCGAAACATCTTGCACCAAGGAACATTATTGGAGTGATCCTGAAAGAATCATAAGTCGGTTTTAGGGATAGGATTCCAGTATCAAAGTGATTTCACATTCTGGCATCAGGTTTGTCTTCCAAAGGGATATTGCACTTATCTATGTTTTCCATCAGATCAAGGAATGCAAGCAGAAGATTTTGAGGCAAAGACCATTTCTTGTCAACAATAAAGCTAGCTACCTTAGCTTGCATGAAATTATAAAAAATGTTGGGGAGATTGTACCTAGATGTTAGAGGATGGCCACAACAACTGTCTAGCCAAAAAACTGGCTTTCGTGCTATTGCCAATAAGTCGGGGTGAATTTTCCATAATTGTTTAGCAATGTCCCTTTGTGCCACATCAAAGAGAGGAAGAAGTGTTGTTCAAGATTGTTCTGCCATTTCTCAATACTCTAGCTTTGAGAAGCTCAGACTATTTACTATCAGCATTATAAGACTCTCAACACTTCTTCAGATTAGAAGCCTTGTTGAGAGTGCTTAATGATCTCAAACCAAGACCTCCCTCCTTAACACTTTTACAACACATGTACCAAGCCACAATAATGAGTTTTATCTTTTTTACATCAACATTCCACAAGAGGTTTCTAAACCATTTTTTAATGTTCTAAATGAGCTTCATAGGTCAATCATAAATCTGAATGGAATGGAGGACCATGCTATATGCCACAAATTTGTCAAGTTGAAGTCTACTTGCCATTGATAAGAGATAGGTCTTCTAGGTAGCTAGCTTAATTTTTAATTTTATCAGCTATGTGTTTAAAGTATTTGTTTTTTGGTTTTCCTTTGAAAATTGGCACACCGAGATAGATAAAAGGAGGATGAGCAATTGTGAAGCCAAGAATTTAAGTCAATATGATGCATCTGGTTTAGACATAGCCCCAAAATAAATGAGGGATTTGGAAGTGTTACAAAGTTGACTAGAACACTCAGCACATCTCTTAAGCAGTTTAGTTATGGATTTTATAGTTTTTACATCACCTTTGAAAAAAACCATAATGTCATCTACAAAGAGAGAGAGAGTGAAGGAACCAAACAATTCATAGTACCATTGATCAACTTGTTTTCTTCTGTATCCACCAGTTTGGATATGCCCTTTTTAAGAACTTCCTTGGCCAAACAAAAGAGGAGAGGTGATAAAGGATCACCCTGCCTCATCCCACTTTTACAAGTTAAGTAACCTACATGTTTACCACTGATAGCAACAGAAAAATAAGCAGAGTTAAGAATAATATTGATTTACTTGCCAAGTTTTGAGTCAAAGCCAAAATTTCCCAATACTCAAAGGAGGAAAGGCCAATGGAAAATGTCAAATGCCTTTGAAATGTCAATTTTGAGGGCCACGTTACTAGTATAATCCTTCTTGTAAAGAAGTTTGGTAGCTTCAAAAGCAAGATACATGCATTCATTAATCCTTCTACATTTGATAAAACCATTTTGATGAGATGAGATTATCGTAGGGAGCAAGAAAGTCAGTATGCCATCCATAAACAGAGGTTTTACACAGGCTTACCATAAACTGAACCAAGATTTTTACCAGCTGATCTTAAACCTACTGAGTTTTTACACGAGCTAAAATAAAAAATCGGGTGAAATTTTATATTTGACTGATCTCGAACCATTGTGAATATTTTTCTCTGATTATTCTTCACAATCCTAAATGAGAGCTTTTCTTAAATGATGGAGATCACAAGTCAAATTGAAACTTATACTAATCTCCAGAGGAGTTTTTATCCAGGTTTAGATCCAAACCTAAACAATTACTACCTAAAGAAGAAGAATTTACTCAAGAGGAAAAAAACTCTTAGGAAATTTACAATAAAGCCATCACCAAGAATGTTCTCAAAGTGCTATGGTTAAAAGTGTGTGAGAGAAAGATAAACAATTTAGAGAGGGGGGGGGGGAGTGAGATATCTCATGTTTTCCGGTATGTTTGAAATGAAAGGAAATACCTACATTTATAGGTCAAAAGATGGTTCATTTTAGAAAAAAATCTATGGGAAAAATAAATTACCTAATTGATTATGTACATGCAATAATTGGTTATTGTAGTCAATATTGGAAGGTTTAGATAGAAAGATGTTACCATTTATTAAGTCTTTTTCGTAATCAATTATGGACTTAAGTCACTCTCATCTAATCGATTAGACAATTTAAGAACTTGTTATAATCAATCTGACAGTTCCCGATTTATCTGCATAGGTTCCAAAAATATTTATGGTGATTTTATTTGAAAAATAGAGGCTTCAAAATAGTTTTTAGTATGTAACTTTAGTCATAATACTTCCAGAAATGTCCTTGTTTTTTTTTATAATACTCTGACCACACAGATGAACACGATCATGCGAGCTTTCACACTTTCTCACTTTCACTTTCTGAAGCTTCAAGTTCTTTTGCAGGATATATCAATCATATGAACACTTCACTTGAATATTCTTGAGGCTTGAGATTTCTTTAAGTCTGTCACCATAATCAAAGAGTAAAGATTACACTGGTGGCCATAAACCCTAATTTTTTAGCTTGATTCGGTGGAATAGCTTGATCAACCATGTCGTGCATCTTTGACCATCATTTGTTAACTTTAGTCATTGCTTGAAATCATGTGTTGTTACCATCACGTGTTGTCATCATCAAAACCATGATATCATCATGGATAGAGATATCTTATTTATCTATGAGTTTTGATCACTTCTTGATTATACCTCCTAACACATAGTTCCACAAAACCAATACATCAAAATGATACAAAATACATACCATGTAATTAAATTAACATTAAACTTATCATAAACCAAAATTCATACCAAAAGACAGACCGAATGATAAACTTCCATTACACTTATCCTAAACTAATAGAAATCTAAGTTGTCTTCTTCCTCTTTTGAGATAAACTAAGCCTAGTGATAAGGTCTATGACATTTCTTGTTGAAATTAACCTTGTTGCAGGGTTGGTAATACAACAGTTTTTAATGGGCTCATAATGCTCAACTTTTTTAAAATAGTTCTTGATCCATTTGGCATAGTCTGAGTTTTCTTTTTAACAAGTCTTGATCTACTCGCCATAGCTTGAGTTGACTGTATTTGAACTGTATGAGTTGTCTGAGATTGAATTTGGTGAGATTCTTGAGATTGACTTACCTGAGGTACATGATATTGACTGTCTGAGGTTAACTTTTTTGAGTTGACGGGTCTTGACTAGCATGAGTTGATGGTGGAACCTTACAGGTTAGCTTGTTATGAGCATTTTTCTTGCACCTACTACATTTAACATGTAATCATGTCCTCCTAATTTTACGATAGGATCCATAAATTTCTCCTTGCTCTAGATTCATTTTCTTTTTTAGTCTTCCTGGCATTTTTATGGAGATTGGTTTGTGCATATCAGGATAACTTATCTTGGCCCATATGTTAGACCCATTAACAGGATAAATAATAGAGTTGTATACTTCTTGATACTTGATTTTTTGTAAATATCAAGAATGTACTCCTCTATCTTATAGTTCTTTCTCTTTGTAGAAAAAATTTCATGAACACATGGCAAGGTTATGAGTTGCCATTTTTGCATGAACAATTATATTATTGCAAGTTGGCACAAAATTTGTCTCAATAGTTTTCAATGTGCCCAACCTCAAAAATATACTAAGCAAATACCTAGAAACATGAATTAAATAAAGTACGATATATCGGTTTTACAGTATTACAACACCTTATATGAGTTTTACAATACAAATATATCATTTAAACAAAGTACAATATATTAGTTAAATAGAGTACAAAACATCAGTTTTACAATACCTTACAATTAATATATATATATATATATATATATATATATATATATATATATATATATATATATATATATATATATATATATATATATATATATATATATATATATATATATATATATATATATATATATATATATATATATATATATATATATATATATATATATATATATATATATATATATATATATATATATATATATTATTTTATTTTATTTTATTTTTATTTTTATTTTTGCTAGTACCTTCTTATCATTAGCATAATCTAATAGATTTTCCTTACCTTGTTCCCTAAAATCATCACCACTTTCATTCGAATCTTTAAATGTAACATCCAAGGCACTATCATAATGAAAACTCACATCATCATTATCATCATCTATTTTAGTACCAACACTTTGACCATAATTCACCTCAACATTATTCACCTCACTATCATTAATCTCACCATCATTCATCTTAGTCTCATTCAACTCAACCTCATCCACTCTAACAACATTGAGCCCAACACCATTCACCTCAACTTCATTGGCCCTAACTTTATTCGCCTATACTACACCCTCATTCAACTCATCCTCATTCATCTCAACCTCGTTGACCCTGACCGCATTCATTTAATCTACACTCTCATTCAACTCATCCTCATTCATCCCAACCTTATTGAACCAAACTACATTCATCTCATCTACACCCTCATTCAAGTCAACCTCATTCATCCTAACCTCATTGATCCCAACCCTGTTTAACCCATTTACATGACCCATTGCACCTTTGACAACTTCCTCGTTGTTTGCACGTGATTTTCGCGCGGAAAACCTTTGTCCTTCCTATGCGAATTTGCTTGCGGGACTGGCCAAATTAGTCCCAGGACGATTTGGTTTGAGGTGAATTGTTTACTTGGGTTATGATGCACTTTGATGGTTATATATTTTGTGGTTTACACTCTAAATAACTAAGAGTTGACAAAGATAAAGAAATGGCTCAAACAAAGACTTTATAGATATTCTGACAATAATGCTTTGAATATCTTAAATACTTGGAAAAACTTAACGTAAAACTTAAAGTGCAATATAAAAATACAAGTAAGAAGACAATTGGACGTATTCGTACATTTTAGAATGACAAAGTAAACTCTTTTCTCTATAGTGCGGTACTCAGAGTATTTTTCTTCCAATCCTGACAAAAGACGCCTCTTTTACTAGAAAATCTTTGCTTTATATAGGCGTACGAGGTAACTGCCAAGGGGCTTCAGGATGTGCCACGTGTCACCCCACGTCTTTGGACAACTGCCTCCACGTTTCTCATTTCAAACTGACTTCCCGCCAACCCTTTTACTTCTCTTGTTGAGAATACCCTTGTTGGCTTTCCTCTTTGTTCGATCGACGCAGGGTCTGTTGACTCATTCCTCTCATGCTGTCGGGTCAAGGTGTGTTGTTTGCTAAGTTTCAATGCTGTCGACCTTTGGCTGTCATGTAGGGAGCTAGTCGACCTTTTTTTTATTTTTTTTCTAACTTCCGTCGAAGTCAAATACCATGTTGGCTATTTCTCAGCCAACACTCGTACAATTTTACATCCTCATCTTCTTCATCAAGGATTACAACATCATCTAGGTTTCTATATTCATCCTTTATAGGAACATCACAATACTTAAGTTGAGACAGTTGATGTTGTACATAAATATGAACACTCAAAAGTATCTTTCATAAATCAGCAACATGTTAGGAACCTTTGTTACAACCTAAAGTAAAAATATCAAATTTTGGATCCTTGTACAATATAGTCTCAACTTTCTTATATCTCAGTTCTTTAACTACCCCTACTACCTCAAAATAACTCCACTTATCCATATCACATCTAAGATCTAAAACAATTCCTTCATAATTGGAAACTTATTGTCTACAAAAGAACCTCCATGGTGAATTAAAAACATCAACAAACTCATCAATTTTTTCACTTAAAAAGAAAATGGTACTACTTAATACATATTCATACAATCATATTATACATTAAGAATCGTAACTAAGATAAAAAAAGTTCTAAGACCAAGATTCAACCCTTAAACCAAGAAAAATCAATAAAACTCTCAGATTAAGACTCGAAACCTAAGAGAAAATATGTGGGAAAACCTTACACGAACATGACATGAAAATCTAGCAAATCCTAAATTAGACACAATGAAAAATGAGACTTGCCAAAATACTTGTGTTCCTTGACCCGTTTTAGTAAAGATGACGTATACCATTATTTACCATTATTTTATTACCTTTGCTAAACTTACCTTTAATCACATGATACTTATTTTACTATATTTGCTAAAGTTTTTTTACCACTTCTTGTAAGGGTGGCAAAACAGATCGTAGTCTGTTGGGCCGACACGCGCACCTGCCAAAAAATGGGGGGTTGGGTTGGAATTTTAGGCCCGCCGCCCACCAAAGTCTGCCCCGCTTAAGACCGCTGCTCGTAAAAATCCGCCGTCCACCAAAGTCCGTTGCACCTATTCGTTCAACTTGTCCCACCTTAAACCCGTCATTTTTTAGTTAATTATAGTAATTCCAATTCTTCATGGTTTTATTTTATACATTTATTTGAGAATATATGCAATAATTTTTAAAGTAAAATTTGTTAAAAAGACGCTTTATAAAAATTATTTTAAAAAATAAGTGAAAATCTAATTAAAATGTAAAAACAAGTCTATTAATCTATTAAAAAAATGAAAAATAAATAAATAAAAAAATAGGCGGCAAGCCCGCAGCCCGCCATCTTGGCCGGACGAATTAGATTTTCATGTCCATCTCCACTTGGCGGACTTGTCCGCCTCGCCTTTTTTTTGTCGTGCTTAAGACGGGGTGGAGCGGAGCGGACGGTCCGTTTTACCACCCCTAACTTCTTATATGTAAATCATTATGCTTAATATGATTTTTGTGAAAAGGATAGTTTTTCATATCACTTGATAATAGTTTGATCTTATACACTTGCTTGTGAGTCATAAGTTAGTCCTTTATCTACCACATCAAAAATAAAAATCATCGGTATCAAGATAAAACTTTCACTATCTTACCTTTCATTTATAGTTTCTAATTGGTCAAAATTCAAAAATTAGATTTTACATAAACAAATATAGTATTATTCCCTTGCGTTATTTTTTAAAACAATGTTTTAGAAATTTTTATATAGTGTGATTATATTGAATAAAAATGTACATAAACTAAATCTATATTTTATTTATGCAACCGTTGTTATTTAAAAAAACAAAAATTATGTATAGTTGTGTTTTAATTTGACCACTTGCCAAAATAGATTGGGAGTGGCACCCACAAGACCAGAGGTTTCTCTCCTCTCTCTTTGTGTCTTCTTCAAAGTCAAAGTGGTGGAAGAGGTAATCTTCAAACTCAGTTTTTTTTACCATAATAGTTTTAGCAATGTGTTCTTCCTCACTTATCTTCATGCATTCTTTTTTTTGCCACATTTTATTGATTAATTTTGTCTCTGTTTATATACATATAATTCTGACGATACTTATTGCATGCCTATTAACGCATAAGCTACAAATTACAGTATTTGCATGTCTCTTATAATGTTTGATTTGAACTTGGAAGTTATACATGAGGTGCTAACTCAGCAATGAGAGTTTATTCTAGTAACCTATGAAGCGTGGACACCAGAAACACGAAACACGACACGTCGATATCAATAAAAATTAAAATAAAATAAAAATTAAATGAAATCACTAGTGTTGATGTTGATTTCGGACACCAAGACTGACACGGATATACCTTTTTTCAAAGGTGTCGGAGCTACCGGATTTGCTTGTAACCTCAAGTTACTGAGTTCAAATTCTCTCGGGAATAGTGTCACTTAATAGGGTTTAGGGTTCATTATGAGGAATTCATTTCAAAAATTTTTTGCTGCAATTACTCATCTTCCTCATTGTTCTATATCACATTTGCACATTCAAAGTTCATCTTAAATTTTGTGTATACCAACAAACTTGTTGTAGAAGTATTAGTCCTTGGAAGTGGAAACTATATATCTTATCTGCATCACTTTGCATCATTCTTATTTGAACTTCTCAAAGCATGTATACTGATATAGCTTTGATTTAGGTTTTGCAGCCCTCATTGTAAGCTTATCATCAAGATAAATTTTCATCTACACCGTCTGTATCGCTAACTTCGCTTTTATTTTCAATGAGTATCTGTCAAGGTGCAGCAGAAAATCAAGCTCCATTCCTACCACCTTCCGCTCCTGCGACAAATATGCCAAGGGGTGAAATTAAGCCGCTTTCAGGAAAGCCATACTTTCATGTGGTTATTTCAAAATCACACGCTAGTCCTCGATATGGACTGGTAATTTCCTACTCGATTTTACAAAAGGAGAAAATAATATACTGTCACACTTTGAGCAGAACAATACTGTCATTTGCTTTGTTGATGCATTACTTTGTCCAACTAATTGTTACATTTGAATTTGAATTTGGAAATCAACATAGAAAAATCATTTGAATTTTGTGTATATAGGGGCCGAGTAGCAAAATATGCCAAAAACTTCCGTTTGGTGAGGTTCCTACTGTTCTCAACTGTCGTGGTAAGAGCTGGGACATGACTTATAATGGACAAAACAAAAACAAGCAGTTTGATACTATTGGCTGGAGAAACTTTGTTAAAGATAATAATTTGAAGGTTGGAGACGGGTGCGTTTTTGAGCTCATGGAAAACAGTGAAGAGAAAATCGTCTTTGAAGTTCAAATTCTTGGAGGTGGATTTCCTGGAACTGATTACTGTGAAGAAGAGCCGATTTTCATATCCAAATTTTCTGGTACTGGTGAGAGTGATTCACCATATGTCATTGACTAGTGTTCTAATGCAGAATTTAACTTTACTTTCTTTTTGAGACTAGCTGAAGCCTAACCTTCTGGGCATGAATGCCACCTACCTTTGTGGAGTGGTTCATGGTTGCAAGATACGTTTGTTGTGGAATGGTTAGAGCATAGATTTTGGTGTTAGGATTAGGAATAGTGAAGTTGTGTACTAGTACTGTTTTCTTGATTAATTTGGTGGTTAAGTTTAACTCAGAATGCTATTTTCTTGATTTGCTCAAAAACATCATTAGAAACGTACAAACTATTTAGTACAAAATTTTCCATAAATTAATGTGGCGATCTCAATCTCGAATTGATCATAATATTAAGAAACGTTCAAGTTCAACAATGTACAGTGGCTATATTAGTGCAAGTAAGGAATTTTCAGTGTGGACATCCCAATAATTCCCTAAGCAACAACCCTTAGTCACAGTTACAGACACATTTAGACCAAGATTGGAACTTAATCAAAAGCTTAAATATCATGTAATGAAGTATTAAACTCCAATTTCAAGTCTAAAATGTAATCACTAAGAACAACTTGAAAGAAAATCATAGGCACTTTCTGTTCTTCTAGGTGAATCCAGGAATTTCTCCTGGCATAGGAGCTAACTCATTCTTGCTAAACTTATCCTCATCATAAAATGTGGCACGCACTATTCTACCTCCAAAGTATCGACCATCAAGGTCAACAAGCGCTTTAGTTGTTTCTTCGGATCTCTCAAACTGCACAAAGATTCTTACTGCTTCGTCGGTGGGAAAATTTGGCTCTGTTATCTCGAATATCAGAACTCGGGTTACTGTTCCATACTTGGCGCATTCTGATCCTACCTCATCTTCCAGCTCATCATCTACCTCACCAGGTCCCACCTTCAAAACAAAGCAACAATGAGTCATGTTTATATATAACAAACTAAACATTATTCTGGGGCGAACCAATACAATAAGCATAAATCAACAATATGGACTCAAAGCATGCTGAGCACACATGTACTAAATCAGGTTCATCAGCCTGTTAAATCAGTTCGGTTAGTAGTTGTGCAGGGACATCCGACTACAGGGGTACGGGTTCAAACCCGTGACATCCCATTTAGTCACCTTTAATCTCAGCCACTAGGTTACTATACTAAAAAAAAATAAGGTTCATCAGGCATTCTGTAGAACAACCTAAAGTTCCGTATACAGGGCACCAGCTCTTTATGATCTATCTCTGCTCAATACTAGACATATGATAGAAATCATAATTATTATAAATAAAATAACAGCCCCTCATACTGCATTAACATCATAACATTCTAAGAGCAGGACATTGAAAAACAGCCACTCATCCCTGGAGGGAGGAAAAAGTGATCAACCAGGATACACATCAAGCCATATAATCAGAAAATTAACCATGCTATATACACCAGGCCAATGTCATTGCTCATTATCCACACGTGAAAAGACAATAAGAGAGAGATATATCATTATGTTAAGACTTAGAATAAAGGGAGTTTGTTACAATTAGAGTTAGGTTAATGAGAAGTTAGTTTAGTTATTGAGTTTGCTAGCCTTTTTGTTTGTATTTAGTCAGTCCTATGGATTATAAATAGGATGGAGTAGTCTTAGAGGAGGGAGGAAGTCATTTATGAAAGTTTTAAATTAGAGAATGCACTGGAGAGGTGAGAGTGCTCTCTTGGGCTAAACTTGAGTGCAGGGTTATCATCTTGCTCATTCCCATTATTCCCATTCAATGATAATACCAGAAACCTGTTCAAGGAATTACTCATTTGATTCATCAATTATGTCCAGTTATGGAGACTTCGTTCGGACTCATATTGCCGAATTCATTGGCAATAGAAAGAATGGAACCTGCAACATAGAAGCATGATTGTTTGTTATCTAAACTAACCTACAAAATTATGTGTCTGTATACATAGTACATAAATATAAATTTTTATAACTTCTGACTGTGTCAGTAGTCGTGCTGCTTCCTATCAGTGGCCAATTTGTTAAAAGTTATTGAGATGACATTCTCAACCATGTAACGGAATTTGTAAGGGAGGGGGAAAACGATAGGCCCCTCCCGAATCTCCTCTGAACAAGAGAAAATTGGGAAGCAGAGGCAAAAGAGACATTCTCAGGGGAGATGCATATGGATGGCTGGCTAAGATGGAAAGGGTGTCTGATAATGAAATGTTGCAAGCAATTCTGGTAGCCATAAAGCTTGGTACTAGTTTCCTATCAGTGGCCAATTTGTACTAGTTTTTATGGTGGGATTTACGTTCTCATAATCGGAATCCCTCGTGGGCAGAATTAGGAACAGCAGTAATTAGGAGGTTTTCCTCCTCCATTATGCAGAATCCCTGTAAATTGTTGTTGGGCTTTAAACAAGTGATTTTTTGTGGAGGATCCTTCAATATGCAAAATCCCTATGAATTTCTGTTGGGCAAACAAGGGATTTTTGTGGAGGAGTAAGAGATTATGCTGGTTCCTGTGAGGTAAAGAACCAGACTACCAGAATTTTTTTGAAAGGACTAAAAGAAGTGTCATTCATTAAAAAAGAAGGGAAAAAAAGAGAGAAGATTTGAAGTTACACCCGGCAAAGTATTTGGCTGAAGTTATGGATTATGTCTAGATATTTGTGGGAAGAATAAGGTACCTACAACAAAGCCTCTTGCATATGTAATGAATCCAACCCTTTACAAATTGGTTGGATCTTCATAGGTCTAGGTTCCCACTAACAAGATACTTGACAAACGTAAGAAATGTATTGACAGCTGAGGAATTTCATACAGAAGTTATCCCTCATCCAAAAGGTATACATGAGTATGGGAATAAACATCTAGTCAAGTTATAATGGAAAAAAACCCAATGGAGATTTTCTGAGGTATCATAACAGGAGAAGGTCAAGTAGGGGTAATATTTATGAAGTGATAAGAAATATCGTCAAGCCCATGTTTGCGAGAACGAAAATCCACATGATATTGAGAAGGAGGAAATTTCAAAGGAAGGAGAGAGTGAGAGATTCCTGTATGATAATGGGGGGAGGAGTACTCTCTCAAAGATAACCTGAGAAGGGAAAATTTTTTGGGTGGAGTATGGTCAGGTACACCCAAAAAGCTAGTTTGTTAGTCATCATGGATACCATTGGTTACAATTCTAACAGGGTTGGCAGGGATAGGCTACAAAGAGAAGATGTTTTATGTTTTGTTAGGATTGGTTTTAGAAGGAAAGATTTCAGGGACTCAAAATCCTGAAAGGAACAACTAACTGTACTCGTTTTTTCTCTAACCTTTTCTTTCATAGTTTCCATATTATCTGGACCAGAATCTATCATGTACATTTACTTATATCCTCAATATTTGTTAGTCCAACTTTTAGTAACATATGTTTATTCTTTATCGTATTGTATCTTGTCATGTATGTTTGGTCATCTATTCTCATCTTCACAACAACTATTTTCTACTCTTGTTCACACTTCACTTCCTAAGATTTGTTCATAGGACATCACTGATCTTATAGAAGTCAGGCTAGATGTTCCAATGAGTGTATACTTTGTAGATAAGTCATATGGATATGAGGAAAACATGGAGATATGCCATTTTACAAATGTTAATTGGGCAGTCTCTTCTTCAGAAAGATATCCTACATGAGATTACTGTATTCTTTCTGGAAAATCTGATATTGTGAACAATAAGAAGCAAATAGTGGCTGCCAGATTAAGCGTAGAAGCCAAGTCTTTAGCAATGGGAACTGTGACTTAAGAACAAATATGATTAAGAAAGTTGCTCAGAGATCAAGCCTCTGGTTAGTCACCACAAACTAACTGACAAACTAAGATCCCTCAATTACATTCTCCCCTTCTTTATACACTACTACCTCTAATACTGTGTTAGATGAGCTTCTTTAACACTTTCAATTTTCTACAAACAATGCCTAACCAACAGAGGCCAGCTCACTTGCCCTCCTTTCTTCTAATATAAAACGTTAACAGATATTTAATATGTATCTTCAAAATCATACTGAAGGAGGAGTCACTAACCATATTCTAACACTAACTTTTACTAAGAAATTAATACTGATAATACATAATGGTTAGAAAAGTGAAAACCTACTAAAAAGAATCATGTGCTCGTTTTAATAAGGAAATGATATAAGCTGATGATAGCTTATTGAGTTAAAAGACAAAATCAAAAATAATTGAATTCAGATCCAGTTATCACCTAGTCACAACATCAGAAGGCCACATCAGACTCCAAATAATCAAAGAACAATAGTTCAATAAGCCTGTACTATACAGCACACAAAAACCAAATATATAGCATCACAAACAACAAAATCTCTACTACTCTTAAAAATACCCATCAAAACAATGCAGGTGAACACAACTATCAAGTAAAGAATACTGTATCACAAATTATTATCCATCTTGTATAGAACATGATCCTATAATTCATAAAGTTCAGTGAACATCTCAACATCATTAACAAACACACAAGGACTGAAATCAAACCAGAAGTTAACGTGCAAAAATCCACATACCATATTTCTAAGCAGCATCACTCTGGTAGGAACCCCATTGATGTTAACACTCTTAACTTTCTTATCAGACTTACTGTCACTAGCATTGACAATAACCCCGGCTCGTCTATCCGTTTTCTTCGCCATCAAAGGAGTAGTAATCCCTTGCTCCTGCTTCCCAAGCCCCTGCCCTTCTTTCCACCCCATCTTCGCCATCATCCTTTGAGCAGCAGTCATCTGCCCACCAGCACCTACCCCCAACCCTCCGGTCTCCGACTTTCCAATAGTAAACCCATCCACATTACCCGGCGGTGACGGCGACCTCGGCGGTCCCCCTCCACTTCCACCAGCACTCATCCCCACACGCCTCCTCCATGCTTCTTCCCCTGAAATATTCAATCTCGAATCACCCTGATCCCTATCCCTATCTCTTTCTCTTTCTTTTTTTCTCTCTCTTTCCCTTTCTCTCTCCCTCTCTTCCTCCTCCTCACGCCGTCTCTCTAGCTCCCTCATCATCTCCGCCTCCCTAGCCTTCCTCTTCTTCTCCCTCCGATACTCTTCATAATCATTAGGCCTTGCTGGATCATACTCTTCCAACACCGTAGACTGCACACCGACCAGAGCTGGTTGCACCACCTCGTCTACCGCCGGAGCGACTATTGTCGGTGCCGCAGACAGAACCGTTTTGGAATTGGAGATTTTAGGTTTGTTTTGGGATCTGAGAAGAGTATGAGGAGGAGTAAAAATAGAGGAGGGTTTACGGAGAGTGGCGGGGGCCATTTTGGTGCTGCTGGACCAGACATTGGTGGTGGGTTTATCTTCTTCGGCGGAAGAAGGTGGAGGTAGGTCACCGTATAACCCACCCAGCATTTTGAAGCTCGGAACCAAACCCAGAGATAGCGACGATAACAAAACACTGCGTTTTGGATTAGGGGTTAATAGGACGGAGCAAAACGCAGACGCTACCTACGGCTATTGGTACCTACCAGAAAATCAACGACTGTCTCGACGGCTCGATTGTTCCTTCTTCATTTCAGGCTAGAGGTTTATGATTTTGTTTAATAATTTTTTGACGCTAGGTTTATGATTTAATTTTTTAAATTTCATATTCATAGGGTGAAATGAATACTTTCATTGTAAGAAAAAATTAATAATATTTTTTATAAGAAAAATATTAATCTACTAGAGAAAACCATACTATTTTTTTGTTTTGTTTTGGTTATCGGTCAAAATCCACTATTTGGAAGTTATTAATGTAATATGCATGTTGATACCAATTTTTTTTGTTTGTAACTAATTCGGTTTTGCCTCTCTTCGTACACAAAATCAAATGTATGAAAGTTTATTATTTTAAACCATACCATCACTTTATACTTACTGTATTTTTTTAAAAAGCAAACACCATGTCACAAAATCTACTCATGATATAGTTTCTTTGAGATTTTCTTCTTTAGGTCAGATCCCCTTCTCTCATATTTTCATCAGTTTTTCGATTATGTTATTCCTTCTCTCATTGTTTCATCTGTTCATCAAATTCTGGATTACGTGGCAAGGTCATTTGAGAACGTCAAGAACATTAACGACACGAAGAAGATTTGGAAAATCGCTGTGAAAGTTCATCATAGATGGAATGTCGTCTCTAACATGAAGGAGCATTTTGAGTTGATTATCATCGACAAATACGTGAGTTTATGATATTTCATATTCAACGTTGTTTGGATTTTTTTACTAACTTGCAAATGGGTTATGTTTTATTTTTCTTCCACCACCCACCCTTTCGTTGCAAATGGGTTATGTTTTTTATACTAACTATTTTTTAGTTTTCGATATTTTATATGAAATAGATTTGTTGTTTATAATATTCACGTTGTTTTACTTATTTTTGGTTTTGATGATTATAAAGAAACTGCGTGTTTTACTTACTTGTAACAGAGGACTGATATCCATGTGGTCGTTCCAACATTGTATAGCAAAACTTTCGGTTCACAATTAGCTGCTAACAAGACTTGCATAATAACCAACTTTCAGGTTCAACTTAATGAGTTGGTATTCAGACCTTCAAATCATAACTTTTTTTATAAAATTCACTAGAGGAACCACGATTAGTGACACAAACAACCATATAATCCCTGACAAAGTTATTAACTTCGCTCCATTATGTGATATTATAACTGGCAAGTGGAAAAAAGATTCATTGATAAGTATGACTTTTGCTTGATCAACAAACCTTTTTGTTTTTTTCCTTACCAGTCTGATGCCACATAATCTTTATGCCAAATTTCTCAGATATTATAGGAATGGTGGACAAAATCGGGTATACACGTATCCATATCAGAGGCAAAAAATAGCAGGTCAACATGGTGTTGCGGGACTTATGGTAACTATGATCTTTACGAACCTCTTTTTTTACCCGTTATGATCTTATTTTTACTAAATAATCTGTCTTCCTCTATTTTTAGCAACAACACAGTCAATTGTACCCTCTGGGAAGCTTATGCGTCACAGTCCATCAAATTCAATCAATAGAAAACTGATTTTGTCTTGCCAATAGTCATCTTACTCCAATGCGCCAAAATCAAAGAGGAAGGTTTGCCATTCTTCGAATTTGTATGTTGTAGTATGTTCGTTTATGTATTTTGTTTTTAATGTTATAATACACATACAATCTTATTGTCCATGTAGGAAAGTATTCTCTTTCTGTTTCTAACACTTACAATGTTACAAAATTGTACATCAACGATGATATCAGACCAATCAATGACTTCATTAAAAGGTACTTTTCTTGACAACAACAATTAGTTTTACTTTCTTTACATACATTTCACCAAATCCTATAAAATGTTATATTTTATTTATTTTCTTAGCATCCCTAAGGACACGTTGGTGAACTGGTCTAGCCAATTAAATTCACAATCTCAAGTGTGGTCACAAAACTCATTAGGCTCTCAACTTACTCCTTACTAGAAGTTCATGTCAAAAGTTGTTGTCCTTCCTATCAGTGAAATTAAGCCATTTAGTAAAATATTTATTTGAATTAATGACTTTTTCCCATCTCCCTCACACATTTTTTCTATGACTGCAAAAAAACATTCTTATGTTTAACTCCCACACCATGGCTGCTCTGTAGATAACTTTCTGTATTACGGTTGCAACAATTGATAAGCTTGTTGCATCACAATATGGATGGTATTATCAGGTATGTCATCAATGTCCTAAAGTAGCTAGGGGAGACAACCCTCCTTTTAAATGTGAAGTTGAACATTTAATAGAAGCTAGAATTTTTAGGTTATATCTTTTGCCAAATGTTAATAAGAGCACATGGTATTCTCCCATGCATACATGATTTTCATTAATACTTTCATGTTTTTATTATTCACTAGGCACAAAATACAAATAAACGTGGTTCTTTGTGGAAGTCGTTGCAGGTTTGTTTTATGGGACTGTGAAAGTGAACAACCATTGGGTCTCTTTGCTGCTCAAATGCGTAACACAATGATTAAGGTTAGATCCTGATGTTATTTTTCATTAACTTTTGATGAAACAGGCAATTCTATTATTCATGTTAACCACTTAACTTCATTCTTTAGGGTGGGATGAGTGACCCCCTTGAGTATCCCTTGGCACTTGACAAGTTGGTGGGTAAGGAAATTGCTTGGAAGGTCAAGTGACAACCTCGGTGGGACATTTATTTTGTTGTTTCTATATTTCAAGACACTTCTGTGATACAACAACTAAAATTTACCTGAGAAAGGGATAACCTAAATATGATCGTTGTCCCACCCACACCTGTTTTGTAGGTATATCTGAAATATATGCATTGTTGATTATCATTTTGTTAGTATATGTTATATGTCAATGATCTTTGGTTTTTTTGACACTGGTTGTATATGTTGTTAGATAAAAAAGAGTGTCGATGAAGCTAATGCTATTGATAATTTTGAAGTAATTATTGTATGTCAACAACTCATACTACCGTGTGTTTTTTTTTCTTATATGTTGTATCCCATACATCTGATACATGCGTCGTAAAATACTGTAGAAACTCGAAATTACATTAAAACTCAATCCTGATCGCGTCACACCGACGAAAAAGATACCAAATCCTGATGGGTCAAGTGAATCTACTACGGCCATCAACATAGCTGATGGTGAAATCTCATCAACCAAAGTTAACAAGCTGATCAAAATTGAGAAATCGTAGTTGTGATGTTGCATCCTTTTGTGTTTTCCTATTTATGTGTTGTATTAAGTTTTGTATGGATATTACCATGCTATTGTTTTTCGGATCTTATTTGTACTATTATTTGAATTATGATTGAACTACTGACTTTTTGTAATGTATAAGTTCGGTTGCTTGGAGTATTGTTTAGAATTGTTTTTTTCCCTGTACTTTGTATTATAGATACTCTTGCATATTAAAACAGTGATTCTCCAACATATGGCGCATTTATTTGGGCCCATACACTTTTCCATTTCCTATATAATAACATCATACCAAGTTCACTTACTCACAATCATCTTCTTCAAGATAGACACAAGTAGCCTACTCCACATTCATATGATGAAGTTATTTGAAGGTTCACTTTGAGATCTACTGGGTGACCTAGAGGTCATTGCACCATTTGATTCTATTGCAACTCCAACTGTTGCAAGAGCATCTTCTATTATATAAAAGATTTATTTGATCTACTGTCTTTAATTTTTCCTATTTATTACATCACAATCCATTTCAGAAACTCTACCACATCATACTTATATATGATTTTATATCATTCATACAACCATATATAGAAATTGAGCATTTATTTGTCCATAAAGTTGGTCACGAACTACCTACACGATGTAAGATGTATGACGGGTTGTATGAATTTCACGTTGAATAGAATCAAAGTTGTACAAATCCACTATTTACTCACGGATGGACTGAGCTACTTCAATGTGTGGATTTTCCATTCAAATTTAATATTCTTTATCTACAATATTTCGGGAATGGACTGTTTTTGTTGATTTCGGATCTAGACCACCAAGGAATTGTTTCTGATTTTCCGTATTGGCACACTTTGTCACTATCAGATCCAACTAAACTTTCACTTGAAATTGTTCTTTCTGGCCATACAAACAGAAACAGTCTTCGAACCCTGGTAAATATGCAACAGTTTTAGATTTCCCTTTATAGTAATTCAAACTATTTTAAATTCACATTTGATAAAGTTGTGTAATTACAGAAATTGGGTGGAGCATCATTACATATCATTGTAGACCATGAATACACCATTCTAATTTTGATGGGACCTTCCAACCAACCAGTTACCTGTTGGATTGATTATCAAAATGGGGATCCTAATTTTTTCGAATTGGGTCAAGGATGGATGTCATTTCATCAATTTAATGGATTTAACAATGGATATATTATTCGATTTACATTCCATAATGTGTATAGTAGTAATATTGTAAACATTTCTCATGTAATGTTTTGAAATTATGCAAATTCGAAGTAGTTTTTTTAACTTAATGAAGACTTTGCTTTAAGTAATGTTCAGTTCAACTTTCAGATATTCCGATTACTCATCCTCACATACAGACTAAATATAGCCTGTTGTAGTATAAACTAATAATATATCACGCGGTTATCAAGACACCAAACTATCTGTCTTTTGGGTTTTTGTCATCCACATGCCACTTTCCCATGTATTGTTTAACAATATTTTCAAGCAATTGTCTCTTCGCAATCACATCACAGAGCTGTATTACAGCAAATATCTATATTTTTTATTATGTATTTGTAAAGTATATATTCGGAACTGTTGACACTATAAATATTAACTCTCACATTTGCAATGTCGTTCAACCACTACGTGGACTTTCCAACT